ACAATTCCACTAACTACAAATTATATAAACCTGACTACAAATGTATTTGGTAATCATTAGCAAGCCTAACTGCCTGAAAGTACCTTTGAGGAACAAGTCTCCTTCTTACTGTCTACCCCAATCGGAAAATTGATGTGACTCCTTCAACATGATAACTTTCTATACAGATTCAGAGATTACAACTCCCAGAAAATAACAGGAAACAAGCCAAACACAAAACAACTATGTTGGAGGGAAGAGGTAGGAAAGAAATGTTGATCCAGCTGTTCGATTTGGGGATTTTAGGATTCGCTCACACTCCAAAACCAAGGAGTGGAGACAACGGAAAGTCTCAGTTAAACCAATCAAACATGTACAAAACATGTTCTAGAAGTCAGGCTAGAACACAGCACCAGCCTCCCTTCAAGGTAAAACAACAGATTCAGCAAGCACCTCAAGAAGCCACACAGGAACAGGGTTAATAAACATACGCTCTGGCAGCAAGCACCGTCCCTTCTCACTCTCTGCCTTCTCCCTGCTTTATTTTTCTGAAGAGTCATCATTATATAAAATATATGTATTTATTTATGGTCTGGCTTCCCCGTTAAGACAGATTCATGAGGTCAGGGACCTGGGTGGGTCTTTATTGCAGTCACTCACCCAGCTATAATATTATAGGTGCTCAATAAATATTTGCTGGTTTAATGACTAAGAAGAAAACAATAGTAACAACAAAATAAGGAACAGGATATGCTGAAACCTCAGCAGAAGAGCTGAATCAGAACTGGCAAAAAGAACTTTGGTATACAACCATCATTAGTGGAAAATGGGAAAATGAACCATCTATTTTTAAAAGGAACAGAAAGCACCTGGGAAAAATTAGTATAATGAAAAGAGAGCACTGACATATTAGGAAAACTAGATTGATTAAAAATGCAACAACAACTAAAAGATACATTAGAATCTTAAAAGACAACAACTGTAATGTATAAACATTGAACCAAAGATATAAAAGAGGAATTACAAGAAAAGAACAGAGATGAAGAAAAAGATGATGCAGAAGGCAAAGAACAGAGATCCAACCTGAACCTCACAGGTGACAATGCCAATTTGAAGGAGAAGAAACTAAAACAAGTAAAATCAAAGCCATAACTACAGAAAACTTCAGAATTGAAAAAGCTCACAAAAATGCTTGTTAATAAACCAATAAAAAGACCTCATCAAATTACAGGGAAAATCATAAAGAAAAAAGTATAATGAGGAACATTTAATCATAATGGTTATAGGGGGAAAAGTCTTATGAACAAAGGAACAAAAAGAAATTTAGGTCTCAGACTTCCTCTCAGGTTAATACTAGATGCCACAAAAGAGCAGATGAACTCCTACAGAATTTTGAGGGAAATGACAGTAAAGAAGTTTGTGTACAAGGAAGTTGTCTGTCATGCCTGACTGACTCCTGCACTCCAAAGGAAAAAGAATCCAAGGAACCCACTGGAAACAGGCAAATGAGAGCTGAAACAACATAAACACATCAGCAGCTGCCTGGTGCTGAAGAGGCAGAATTTAAAGTTAACTCTTGCCCAGAGGGACTTGGTTACTGCCTAGGACAGGGGTGGGCAACCCCTGACATGCGTGCCAAACATAGCACGCCAGTAACTTTTGCTGGCACGCAAAACCCTCTCTTATAATCTTCCATTTACAATTGTTTTCTTAATATCGACTTTTTTATTTTTCAGATAAATTCAGTGTAGGTGCATCTTAGATAAATAATTTTACATAACAAGTTATCTTAAAGACCATAGACATGGATTGACAAGAGAGGGGAAGAGCAATTTCTATGCCTCTGCCTTAACTCTCCTTGCCTTCCTAGATCCGACCAGTGTTTTGGTTTCATCCACATACGCTTGTGAATCTTTGTTCTCAGTGATGAATTTTGTTAAGTCTCGTAATAGGAGTAGCCTGATGGATAAAAGTAGTAGCTCATGCATATCTCTGAAGGTCACGTAAAATCTCTGTCATCAGTGATGCAGCAGCAAAAGCCCCACTGATAATATCAAACGGAGTCATAAAGTTTTCTGTCGGACTATCAGTGTACATGTATACATTAAAAAATAAATGTTAAAAAATAAATGTATTGTTCATCATCATATACTGTGTTTTTGTCGCTCGAATGAATCTTTTCTTCAAGGTTCTTCACATATGTACATCTTAAGAGATATCAAGTAGGTGTAACATGTTCTCAAAAAATTAGGGTTGGCACGCAGAAGAATTTTGAGTCAGAGATTTTGCTGGTTTGGGCACGCACTCACAAAAAGGTTGCCCACCCCTGGCCTAGGACTTTCCATTGACATCCCTGACTAAGGGCCATACCCTAGAACTAAGGAAAACTCGGAAATAGTAATAGGAGACCCAGAAGGAATGGAAGGAGAGAAGAAAATATCTGAAAAAGTTGTGGGAAATAAAACCTCCCTGTATTTCTCAGTGTTCCTGTAAAAAAGCCTTCGTCTCCTGGGTCAGCAAAACATACATGCTATGAAGTGAGAGAATGTCTGCTTTTACTTCTCCCAGAATCATTTCACATACCATCAGGATTAGAACTGTAGCCATGTGTTTAAAACTTCCTTATCTCACAGAAAGCCAAGCAGTTACATCACAAGATAAGCGCCTAAGCTGGCTCCAAAGGAGTAGGAGAGACTCCAGTATCATCTTCCTAAGTATCCACATTTCAAAGAGACATGAGGTCCCAGAACTTGGAAACACCGCTAGGTCTAAAAAGCCAAGGCAGGGAGAGAGTGTATCTGGCTCCTGAAGAGCTTTTATTTACATACCAAAGGACTGGAGTAAAGAGGAGAAGAGGGGGACAGCTAACTCCTTCCCCTTCATAAGAAAAACACACACCCTCCCCCAGCTACTCACATAAAACAACTGACCTGGCTCTCAAAGTGTCTCCTAGCACAGTGGTTCTCAACCTTGGCTTCACATTAGAATCACCTGGGAATCTTTTTAAAATCCTGATTTCTGGGCCTCATCCTCCGGAAATTCTGTTTCTTTGTTACTAATGATGAGGCCCAGAAATCAGGATTTTAAAAAGATTCCCAGGTGATTCTAATGTGTAGCCAAGGTTGAGAACCACTACTTTACAGTGAAGTAATGACAAACACAACCCTGACCAAGTAATCAAGGTCAGTGTCATCAGAGATAAGCTCATGTGATAGCACCTACTCCTAATATGATGTGTTGAGAACAGCACTTCATCTCTGTGGTCTTCCTCCTACAGACCCATCACCCCAGTGTAACCATGAGAAAAACATCAAACAAACTCAAATCGAGGGACATTTGGAAAAGTACCCTACTAGTACTCCTCAAAACTCTAAGTAAGCCCTAACCAGTGTGGCTCAGTGGATAGAGCGTCAGCCTGGGGACTGAAGGGTCCCAGGTTCGATTCTGGTCGGGGGCATGTACCTTGGTTGCGGGCACATCCCCATTAGGGGACGTGCAGGAGGCAGCTGATCGATGTTTCTCTCTCATCGATGTTTCTAACGCTCTATCCCTCTCCCTTCCTCCCTGTAAAAAAATCAATAAAATATATTAAAAAAAAAAACAACTCTAAGAAAAATCCGAAAAACCACTGCAGACCAGAGAAGGCTAAGGCGACATGATGACTAAATGTACTGTGGTATCCTGAATGAGATCCTGGAAAAGAGAAAGGACAGTAAGAGAAAACTAGTGAAATCTGAATAAAGTACTGAGTTAGTTAATAGTACTGTATCAGTGGTGATTTTCTGATTGTGACAAATGTACCATATTAATGTAAGATGTTAACAATAAGGAAAACTGATGAGAGTTATATGGGAACTCTATAGCTCTGTAACTTTTCTGTAAATCTAAAGCTATTCTAAAATTAAATTTTTATTTTAAACATCTCAATAGATAGATTTAATAGCAGATGACATACAACAGAAGACAAGACTAGTAAACAAAAGACAGGTTAAAAGAAAATATACTCTTAAAGGTCAGAGAGGGGGAAAAATGAACATAAAAAGCCCAACAAAAATAATGGCAACAAACCTGCCAAAAATGATGGAAAAACATTAATCTATACCAAAAAAAAAAAAAAAGCCTTAGCAGACATATGAGACATACAGAAAATGTTAAAAGGGTATAACAGAAGTCCCAGAGAAGAGGAGAAACAGAATAGGATAGAAACAGTGTATAAACCAATAATGGCTGAGAATTTTCCAAAACTGATGAAAGATATCAACCAACAGATTTAAGAAGCTCTACAAACCTCAAGCAGCAAAAAAGAAAAGAAAAGAAAACCACTCCTCAGCACATCATTCTAAAATGCTAAAAACCAAAGGACAAGGAGAAAAACTTTAGAACATCCCAAGAAAAAAATTCCATTATTTTCAAAGGAAAAACAATGACATTGACAACTTTCATCACAACAAAAATGAGACAAGCAGAAAAAGAATAGAATGATACCTTTAAAGTCCCATCCAGTCATTAGCAATAAAACACATGCTTCGCAGAGTCTATTACCACCACTGCAAATTAACCAAGCATGTGTTTCACTGCTAATGACTGAATGGCACATTCTAGTAGCATCCATGAGCACCATGAATAGAATTATTATTATCATCATCAAGATTGTGAGGGCGAGCTGGCTTCGACATCTGTCACCCCATTGATCGCCAGGGCTGATTCGGCTGATCTGGCTGGCTAGGCGGGTGTCCCCCTCCTCCCTCACCGATCCATGTGCGTCCCTCCCGAAGCTGCACGCTCGGTTGAAGAGGACGACCTTCCCCCCCCCAGGAGAGGACCAGTCTTCGGTCAAGGGTATACAAGTAGCTGCGCTCCCCTGCTAGAACCTCCAAACAAGCTCTCAAGAAAACATCATTAATTCAATTCATATTACACTATCAAAATTTAAAATAGAAAATTTCAAGTAAGTACCCACACACACATATACATATATATGCATACATACATACACATACATGCTCATTTCTCCACCTTACCTAAAGACCTGCAGACTGAAATAGTTGCCTCCTCCAAGAGCTTCAAATCAGTACTGGAAAGATAGAAGAAGAAAGATAATTAATAATTATAACACTAAATATGTACACACTAAAGAAATATATAAAAGAAGAGAAAAATAATTTAGAAGGAAAATATGATATACTAGAGGCCCGTTGGCTCCCTCAGCCTGGCCTGTGCCCTCTCGCAATCCGGGACCCCTCGGGGGATGCAGTAGTGCAAGAGACAGCAGGCGGCCAGGGAGGAGCCTGCTCATCCCGGTCCCGCTGCCCAGGTAGCGCTGCAGCGGAGGCGGGAGAGGCTCGCACTGACGCAGCTGTGCTCGCCAGCTGTGAGCCCGGGGTCTGGCACCCATCGGTCAGCTCATGCGTTGAGCGTCTGCCCCCTAGTGGTCAGTGCATGTCATAGTGACCGGTCAACCAGTCGCTTAGGGTTTTATATACATAGATAGTAGTGAACAATAAAATCAGCACAATAAAATGAAGCTTCTATTTTCAATATAATTAGGAAATTTACTATAATTCTTCATATGACATTCCCAAAAGATAAGAGCTCAGGGCACCCTGCCTTTCAAGCATTGAGGCAGGGAGGAATGGTAGGATTGGAGGCTTAGAAAAATTTGATAAAGGCACACCAAAGTATAGAGCAAAAGGCAGGGGCCCCCTCTGCCCATTTGTAAGGGGAGTACATGGGATACACTTATTTAGAAAAATACTATTATTTTCAGGAAATGGGAATTTTTTGTTGTTGTTTGTTTGTTAATCCTCACCTGAGGATATTTTTCAATTGATTTTCAGGAAGAGTGGAAAAGAGAGGGAAAGACAGAGAGAAACATCAATGTGAGAGAAACATATCGAATGGTTGCCTCCTGCACAAGCCCCGAACAGGACCCTTTGGTCTGCAGGCTGACGCTCTATCCACTGAGTCAAACTGGCCAGGGCAAGATGGGAATTTTTAAAGTAGCCACAGAAGAGCTGCCTTCCTTCCTTCCTCTCCTCCCCTCCCTGGAGTCCCTACCACTCATCCATCCTAATGGGTATGAAATCAAGGGAAGGAAGGAATGTAGATAAGCAAATTGAGGCTTCCAAGGAGTTTAATATTCCAGGAATCAGAGCTACAGGAAGAACAGGAACTACCTTTAGAGTCTGGGGACTGGTTTAAAAACTTCCTGTTCTTTTCTGCTAATACACATGGCACAACAAATCCTCCAAATAGGCAACTCTTCCATGGCTCCCTGAAAAGTCCCCACCTCCTAGGGAATATATAAAAATAAAGAAGAGAAAAATACTATCACTGAGGAGGCATACTTTTAAAAAGAAAGAATCCATAAGCATTTAGAGCATCTGACAAGAACATTTTAGAGAACCTGTGGAAGAACACTAATTGCTTTAGCCATCTCTAGAACTACGCTGTCCAGGATGCTACCTGCTGGCCACATGTAGTGTGAACTGTGGCCAGTCCTAATTGAGATGTGCTGAAATACAAAGTACACACCAGATTTCAAAGATTAAAAAGAATAAAATATACTTCATTATAAATCCTTATGTTCATGAAATTATAACATTTGGGATATATTGGGTTAAATGAAATATTATTAAAATTAATTTCACCTGTTTCATTTTACTTTTTTCATGTGGCTAATACCAAACTTTCAACTACATGAATGTGTTACATATTTCTTTGTTTGTTAACAAAGGTTTATTTTTATATGAACCTAGTTCCACGCCTGACACAGAGGACAGGAGGGGACAGACAAGGTCACGGCCCTTACACTCATATTCGGGACAGCCACCTCCACGTCTTCCATCCTCACCTCAGCCTGGCAAGGCCGGTGAATGGGGAGGAGTCCAGACAGGTGACTGGACGAAAGATGTGCTATTTCCTGACTAGGGGACACAGAGGGACAGGAGGACACAGTGGTACATAAAAACAGAGATGCCAACAGTTAGATGCACGTCCAGGCCTAAACAGAAGGAAGTCTGGGCTTAACATGCGACTGGGAAGTACCGGCTCGCAATGAAAACGTGGGCCCTCGGGGAAGGGCCCTGGTGCCTGCTGCCGTCAGAAATGGCCTTGCGTTAGGACGGCTCGAGCTGCTTTCTGTCCCCGGTGGGTGCTGGGCACTCAGTAGGCCGACAAGTGCAGCCAGAAAAAAGCACAGGTAGGACCAGGGCCAGCAGAAGCTCAGAGACGTTAGCCTCTTCTGCTGATGTGAGAATCTCAGGTCTTTGCTCGGCTCCGTCGTTTTATCTGGGAGTCTGACACAAGGAGCTAAGACGGTGTCAGCCCCTGGCCGATGGGAGGGTGGATGGGGTCCTTCTCAGATGAGCGCAGTCCTAGTTTAGGCAAATATCAAGTGAAAAAGGCATGCCACCAGTCAGCCCCGAGATGTCTATCTGACTCCTGCGCCCTGAAGATGGGGTCACAGGCCATCCTCCGGGTTGCGTTCATTCCCTGAGTGACAAGAGTCCCGGACGAGCCAGTCCTGTGCAGACAACCAACCCCAGGGCACGGACCACAGGCCTCCGCACAGTGAAGACATATCTATAAGCACTTATCCCTTCCTATCACTTCCTGAGGGCCTGCCCTGGGGGTAGGGGTAGGGCCACAAGGACAGAAACCCCTGCCTTTGTGGTCCTGGTAGGGACACAGACAAACACAGAAGCATTTAAAATGCAAGGGCTAGGGCCCAGGAACGGGGCTAAATGGGAGAGGTCGACTTCAGGGCTGCATTTGGCAAAGTTGAAGGGCACAGCTTCCCCACCACCCGTCTTAAATTGTTACTTCTGGGGACCCAGGAGTGCCCCCTTCATAACTCCATGCGGAGTTTTTGAATAAACTATTGAGAATCAGAAATTTTTTAAAAGCTTTCTTCCCTTAAACACCCAGAGAACATTATTTACAGAATCCACATTTAAATTTACAGCAAACATTGTTCTAGAACTTATCACTAAACTACATTTCCTACTTTCCCCCCTTGAACACCTGAGCTAAACATCGTCACAGCCCCGGTGACTTCGGGCCCTTATTTTCTTGACGCCTGCATCTTCGTTCTCCTGCTTTGTCTTTTCAGCAGGCCTTTGGCACTCCACATCACTCTCAGTTTGGACAGACTCTCCAAAGTGTCCCTGGTGGGAGGGGCCATCACCTTCCTTGATCTCAAGGCATATTCCTACTAGTGATGCTCTAAAGCCTGTCTCTCACAAATTAGGACAGTATCATATATAAAAAGCATTATGCATGGCCATACAAAGCTAAGGCCACTGACTGCTTCAGTGGATATGCTATTCCCTTAAGAATCTCAAATTATATTCATATTGAAAAAATACAAATATCTTTTCAAAATTAAACCTTTAAGCTTCATCTAAGATTTAAAAAAATTTTAACCAAAATAATCTAGAAATAACCTACAGCAAAGTGCTTACAGGTACTAGATTTTTTAGAGTGTCTGCATGCCTCACAACGTCTGTCGGTCTGCTGTCCTCCCATCCCTTTCTCCTACCTTCCCATCTCCCCCTCAGGGTGAGCGGAGCAGGGGCAGGCAGGCTTGCTCAGCATGACCCCACTCCCTGGCCACGGGTGGCTGGTCAGGGATAGATGTCTAATGTAAGCCCACCAGAGTCTTGAGGAATTTGGAATTGAGATGGAAAGACAGGTTTTCTGATGGCTGGAACTTGTGAGGCAAAGCTGAGGGTTATGGGAAGCCATCCTCCACTAAGGGGCAGAGAAAGCTGGTTAGTAAGAAAATGAATAAGAGAGCTTCGTGGACAAAAGCAGCAATAAACAGAGAGGCCTCTCAGGATTCCTGCCGGCCTTCTGATTCTTGGGACCAGTTCTTCCCAAAGCCTGACTGCGTTTATGATCTTCGATTCTATTAGACCCCACCCCTGTCTCTTCATCACATAACCCCCTCTTTCCGGTATATGCTAAATCAAATTGATTTTTGTTAATAACCAAAAGGTTCTAATTAATAAATCACTGTGGTAAGATTTAATAATACACTTAGTAGTTGCCAAGAAGTGGGAACTATGAATTACTCAGTTTATTGGTTACTCAGGGAAAAAAAAGTAAAGATGTATAAAATGCAAAAGATTGTAAAGAGCTTTATGAGGGTAATAACTAGACCACATGCATTAAATCTGTTTCACTGGTGCTTCTACCTTCTTCAGTCAATAACACTCTCAACGCTCGCTAGAACCAAGAGCTTCAATTATATACATGTGGTTATAAACTTCAAAAACTTCTGAATTTGTTCATTCAACAAACATTACCTAGATGTCCAGGACATGCTGGGCTCTATGAATGATGCTACCTCTCTCTCCAGGCTACATGGAGGAATGAAGCAGCAGAGACCACTGGGAAGTATGAAAATCAAGACCAGCCCCTTTGCCTAAGCTCATAGGAAGTGCACCCAACCTACCCTAGGAGCAATAAAGGAAGGCTTCCTGGAGGAAGAAACTGTGTCCTGAAGGAGCAAAAGAAATCAGTTGGGCAGACCAAAGGAGAGGGCTTTCCAGACACAGGAACAGTGTACCAAAGGCATTGCAGTCACAACCTGGCATGTTCTTGGAAGCGGAGATGAATCAACACTGGAGAAGGGCAAATACAAGCCTGGAGACATACACTAGATGGCTAGAATACAGAGTTCAGTTTCTCAACTTGTTCTCAACAGAAAGGTTCCCAAAACAGCGTTCTGATTGATTTCTAAGACAATATTAGCCTTAAAAAGGGATTATTTACACATGTATTAGTGAGGTTGTTTGGACATTATTTCTTCCAGGAAACCTTTGATCACCTAACACAAGGAGATAAGTCTGGTTTCCGCCCCATAAGCACCCAATCGTAAAACTGAGCACATGGTAGTAAGATTGCCCAATTATCTGTCTGTGCCCCCTCCCCCCGCCCCAGACTGAGGGCTCCTTGCTCATCACAGCATTCCCAGCCTGGTGCAAAGCAGGCGCTTAATAAAAATGCACTGAGTGAATGAATGACAGACACTTCACTACCAGAAAACAAAATTAATTATTTCCCCCC